AGTCGTTCGGATGGGATGAAAAACCGAGGTCCTGTGTACACATTGGCGTGCACGTAAAAGATTCCCATGGCAGTTGGAATTCGATATGAGTAGGCCGTAGCGCCGCTGCCCGGGCAAAATTTCCCTCATAGCACACTGTATGGCGTATGCCCGTCTTCATTAGCCCAGTATAGGAGCAGAACATTTCATTTTATCTAAATATTATATAATGCATCTTTATGTAAAGGAATCACCTGTGGATTAATTAAATGAATGGTTTTGAGAAATAATCAGATTCTGTTCTGGCACATGAAATATTTATTAAAACAACATTGCATGAAGATTTTAATTGAGAATATTTTTAGCGTTAAAATTAATGATAACATTTAATTAAGGCAGCATGTCTTCATTAGTTTGGATGGTGTTAATCCCCTTTCCGTTCATTAGCAAGGCAGATCATTGTGTTACACATCAAGTATTGATAAAACCAAATCAACTGTTAAAGATACTTTTAAATCAATCAGATATTAACTTAGCTCCATAGATTCTACAAGCAATTGTAACTAGACAGGGTAAACAACAATATAAGATCCCATGTCAATGTGGATGTATAAAAACCGTTGATTTCTGACATGCGATTCAGTGAAATATGTAGTTTATTTAAAATCACAGGCTATTAAAGATCCATTATGGGAGATTAGATAAAGAGCTGGCAGTTCTCACTATAATAGTTCAAAACTAGATAATGTAAAGGGAATTGAATTTTCGGCCTAGCCTTGATCATCATTACTAAAATCGGTATGATAAACAGCATAGTCTTGATTATCCATTTCTGATTAAATTATGAATGGAAGTCAAACAGGAAATCGGAATCTAATCCAATAAATATCGCAAGCTAGCGATCACATCGAGAGTTGATTATGGTCTGGATAAGTTAATTAATGTCTAATTAAAAATTTAGATAACATTTCAGACCTAAAGAAAGAACTGCAATAGGCAGATTTAGCTCTTGCATAATGTATGTTTAAGAGTTTAATAAAGACTTGGTCATTCTAGCTATAATAATTCAAAAATAGATGATACAAAAGAAAATATTGAAAATTTCAGTCAAAATTACATTATTGTGAACAAAGTTGTCACTGTTGGAAGTTTGGCCTAGAAATGGGCATCAACTGTCTCTGCACCATTTCTGAGAATTGCCGATCATTTGATTGACAGACAATAACTCCACCCACATATTCTCGATCATCAAGTAACAATCTTGATGGCTACGGTACCCTTGATTAGCAGGCCTTTCATCGGCAGTCTCCGGTAGTATGATGTCAGCAGGCAACAACAACTGCCGTTCCATTCTGAATGTTTTGTATTTCACCGAACATAATTAATTAGAAAATACAATAAATGAAATGAAATGAAATGAAATGGGGTTTAACATCCTACTGTTATGCTCCGAACTGAGCTAATGAAGACGAGCATACGCCATACAGTGTGCTATGAGGGAAATTTTTCCCGGGCAGCGGCACTACGGGCTACTCTTATATCAAATTCCAACTGTCACAGGATCTTTTACGTGCACGCCAATGTGTACACGGGACCTCGGTTTTTCATCCCATCCGAACGACTAGACTGCTGTCCTTGTCAGACCCTCCGTCCTCCATCACTGACAAGGGACAACCACGCCGGAAAATCTGGACGAACTTTCTCAGCCAATGCAGGGATCGAACACCCGACCTCCAGGCTAGCGAGCCAGCGCCTTACCCACTTAGCCACAGTGATACCCAGAAAATACAATTTTTTTTTTTAATTGAATATAAGTCACTTTATATAACTTTGTATTATATTAATATGTGCCGATAGACCCATTTTTGTCTATTTTAAGGTTCTGCAGAATAGAGCCATATACCTATAGACCCATTTTCGTCTATTTTAAGGTTTTGAAGAATAGAGCTATTTTTTAATAACCTTTGTCAATGTCAATTTCTATTTTACTTTTACTTCGAATATTTGTGATCTTTTTTTTTTTTGAACATTCATGATTTTTTAAAAGTTTTACGTCATGCATTCATGTTTTTACCATTTGTTTATTGTAAAATGCCTTTGAACATTCTTTGTGGGAATGGTGCTATAATTTATATAACATTTGATGCCAAATGAAGAGTCCAGGGGAAGAACGATCAAAGTCACATTTTTTTCTTTTCGCATAAATGGCAAAACAGACTTTTGGACGAGAATGCTTTATGCGAACAGAACAACGAGTGGGTTTAATTACAACTTCAAAATGATGTTTAATACAAATCATAATTACCAGTACAACAACTGACTTCAACTTTCCAGCCAAACCAAATTAAGGTAAACTAAAGGGTACGATGGATGTATTTGTGCGGGAGGCCATTTCAAAAGGGCCTTCGTTTGATGTGACTCCGATCGTTTTTTCCTGAAATTGATTGTTCCACAGAGCTTATACAATTTGCTACCAGTTGGCGCCATTAACTGGGGTTCGTTGAAAAACTGACTTAGATCATTCTTCAAATGAAAAACCGGTTTGTGTCCGAGAAACAGAAATGCATTGTCATAAAAATGGACGGTTCACCAAAACCAAATCTCGGTGGGGTGGCAGCCCCACCCCACCCCTGGCTCATACGGCTATGATATTATTGCCATTTTATTTTTGGCCCAGTAACCACTCATGACAATGTTGTTTTTGTTCTTGGGGGTGATGATATGTAAAACTAAAAAGCCTAAGGCACCACCATTTGATATGATGGGGGGGTTGGATGACTGAATGGTTAGCACATCCGCGCTGTATCATAAGGACTGTCATTGAGTCAACTGGCGTGGTTTCGAATCTCCGGTTGTACGTGACAAGGAGGAGGGTCACCTGTCCAACCTTGTGTGTTTTCTCCTGGTTCTCCAGATTCCTCCAACTGCTAAAGATCCCTTTTTCTTGGGGGCGATGATCCACTTAAAAAGCCTAAGGCACCACCATTTGTCATGAAACTTGACTTGCTTCTTCCTTGGACAATTGTGCATCGATCTGCCAATTTCAATTTTTGATGTGATGTCACAATTCCAAAATGGCTACAATGACTTCATACTCGGTTCCTTGTCTATAGTAACACTCATGCTTGTTTAACAAGTGCCTTCACACTGGCACTCAAAATGAGGTCGACATATGGCAGCAATAAAAAAACCCCAGCTTATTAAAAAAATAAAATGGCAGTTTTTGCATTGGTAGAGAAAAATCATTGAACCAAGAAATAACGAAAGACATTCACTTAGAATAATATTGATGCAGGTTCTACAGAAAATATTTAGTTAATTAGTTTCCCGGATTCCAATGGCGTGGGCCCCGACTAACATTTTGTGGTTGAGATAACAAATAGTTTATCTGTCAACTGAGTTAGATGATTAGATCCGTTTCCGTATTTTACACTCAATTAACATCAATCATTGGAAACCTACGATCAATCAACCAATCAACAAGTTAGTTATAGTTGTTTACACTTTTCGTCTTTCATCAGGTTATATTCATCACTGATCATCAGCTGTTTACTCATTCATGTAATCTTGAATTGTTATTTTGAGACTGGGTGGCTTGATGAGTAAAGCAGTGGCTCATGAACCAGACCGATATTGGTCCAGAAAGCTCCCTCTTCCTCTCATCGGATTATATTCGGCAGTGATCATCAGCTTTTTATTCATTCATGTAATATTGTAATGTCATCTTGAATTGTCATTTAGAAAATGAAATGAAATGAAATGGGGTTTAACGTCCTACTGTTCTGCTCCTAACCTGGGCTAATGAAGACGGGCATACGCCATACAGTGTGCTATGAGGGAAATTTTGCCTGGGCAGCGGCGCTATGGCCTACTCTTATATCGAATTCAAACTGCCAAGGGATTTTTACGTGCACATCAATGTGTACACGGGACCTCAGTTTTTCGTCCCATCCGAACGACTAGACAGCTGTCCTTGTTAGGCCCTCCATCCTGCATCACTGACAAGGGGAAACCACGCCGGAAAATCTGAATGAACTTTCTCGGCCAAAGTAGGGATCGAACACCCGACGAATTGTAATTTAGAAACAGGATATGGCTTGATGATTCAGGCAGTGGCTCTGTAACCAGAAGGTGACCCGAGTTTGATCCCGGTATTGGCCCGGAAAGCTCTCTCTCTCTCCAGTTTCCTCACACCGTTAAATACCCCTACGCGTAAGCAAATAATTGAAATAAAATTGAACCATATGTTAGTCCCAAAATCTCTCTCACTCTCTCTCACTCTCTTTTTTTACATAATTCATCTTTAAACTCCATCTAACATCATAATGATCAAGGGTTGTGTGCATATAAAATAAACATAAATGGAAAAATTAATAAAACGGACCGTAGAAATATTTGCACTGTTAAATACATGCCATCTGGGACCCGTCACTTCAATAAAAAAAAATCTCGCAGATTTCAATGAACGTCTTCCCTTCATTTACCAGTAGGTATGAAAATTCAATAGAAATTGAGTTTAATCAGGTTTTTGTGAAATCAACCAAAAAATCATTCGTGAATAAATCTGTCTGTGAATATGTGTTCTCAGTAAGCTGTTTTATTTGGATGTTAATAGTAAATAAATACCACACAATCCAACCGAAGCCCACAAGACATAGACACATTTATTCTGTTTTTTAAAAAGAAAACATTTAAAGATCGATTATTTTAACAGCAAGGTTAAGAGAAACCTGTGTGATTTTATAAAGTGGTCTGTAGCCTGTGGTGTATTTTTTGTGACATATCGTCTTGAATTCTGGCACCGAGTTCACAAAGCATTCTCAGACTTAAAGATACATTATGAAAGATTAGATAAAGAGCGGACAGTTCTCACTATAATAGTTAAAAAATAGATAATGTAAAGGGTATTTGCTGAAAATTTCAGTCAAATTGATTCACTCTGGGCTGAGAATTAAGCGATTGAAATTTCGACCAAGCCTTGAACATCATTACTAAAGTTGGTACGATAAAAAACATAGTACCAATAATCCAATTTTTGATGTAATCTTTAATCATGAATGAGCGTTGAGCAGCAGGTTGGATTCCAATTCAGTAAATATCGCAGGCTAGTGATGACATCGAGAGTTGATATGGTCTGGATAAGTGAATTAATGTCTAATTAATAATTTAGATAACATTTCGGGCCTAAAGAAATACCTGCAATAGGCAGATTTAGCTCTTGCATAATGTATGTTTAAGTTAAGAAAAATTTACCCAACTTTCAATCACTGTTTATGCGAAATATATTTGATCCAGAAACACAAAACTTGTAGCACCATGAGTATTCTGTCAGACGTGGAGAGCGGGCATGGAAAAAAACAGTCGCCACATCCTACGTACAATCCATGCATCTTTTCTAACTACATATCTTAGTAGCCTTGTGATCGTCTAGAATTTGTCTCTAGCTGTCTTTGCTTCTGCTTCACGCTGTGTATTTACTTCTTACTGTTTTCTTAAAACGTTTGTCTTCTCATCAGTTATAACAATGCAACAGTTCGTTTTTACATTTTATATATCATAGCTGCATAATAGAATAAAGTCATCTCGAACACTAGCCAGGCAGTCTCGCTGGGCGAGTCTGCTGATAAAAACTGTTACATCTTTTCCCTTCTGGAATCAAGCTGTTGTCTGACAATCGCCCACCAATATGATAGTTTTGTAGCTTGGGTTTTGACGTTCAATTATCTAATTTGTCAAATATGTTGTAAATAATAACAGAGATTGGTCAAACTAAACCAAATGATGCAATAGGTAAATTTCCAGTCACATGTTTTTTGACACAATCTATCCTTGAACTTAGACCCTCTTTCCTGTTATTCTCACACTAATTCATAAACAATTAATTTGCGTTTTAAATAAACTCATACCATAGCTAATATACAGACAATAGAGAATAATTTGTAAAGATACAAATATTGTTTAAACCATCTTGTCTATATAAATTTAAAAACAATGTCGCAGTGACGATATTACTACAAACTTTGCACATAGTTTCTTATTTATGTATTTGATACATTAAAACAACAAAAGTTTTATAAAGGTCTATATTTTAGTTAAAATAAGGAGAACAATTTTGAGTAAATTCTTAACTTAAGTCTGAGAATACTTTGTGAACTTGGGGCCCGACCTATGAACTAATTAAGTCGAAGTTATTCAATATTTATTTTTTTTTTAGCGCTTGCACGTTGTGTCATTGAGTCAACTGGCGTGGTTTCGATTCCCCAGTTGTACGTAACAACGACTAGGGTCGCCTGTCCAATCCTATACGTTTTCTCCTGGTTCTCCGGTTTCCTCTCACTTCTAAAGATCTCTACCGGCAAGCAAGTCATTGAAATAAAACTGAAACATATATTTGTCCCAAAATGACCTGCTTTGTGTCAAGTGGAGGTTAAACCCCATCTCTCTCTCTCTCTCTCTCTCTCTCTCTCTCACAATATTTATCTGTTGATTTATGCCAATTGTGGTTTATGTCATTGATTTTTGTGGTTCTTCCGTTATTTTTAAACAAATGTTAAATTATTGGTTCTTTATATGGTATCCCAGACGCTTTAATAACAGGCTTTTAAGGTCAAGGGAATGCAATGTTATGAAAATGGTTTTGGGCCATTTTTAAAGAAACTAAAGAAGACTTATAGAATTTTGAACTATGCAATGAGATCGTCAGGGTTTTGTGTTGCTGAGTGTTCTAATCGTGTACTTTAAGGTCAATGGAATGCAATGTTATGAAAATGGTTTTGAGGCATAATTAAAGAAACTGAAAAAGACTTATAGAATTTCGGGGTTTTGTGTTGCTGAGTGTTCTGATTCGTGTACTTCTAGATCTTAAGGTCTGGCATTGAGTCAGGCTTGTACTTTTAGTAGGGTCACTGTATGAAAAAGGGTGGGTGGGGTGTTTGCTGTATAAAAACGGTAGGTGCTGGTGTTTGATGTATGAAAAAGGGTGGGTGGGGTGTTTGCTGTATAAAAACGGTAGGTGTGGGTGTTTGATGTATGAAAAAGGGTGGGTGGGGTGTTTGCTGTATAAAAACGGTAGGTGCGGGTGTTTGATGTATGAAAAAGGGTGGGTGGGGTGTTTGATGTATGAAAAGGGGTGGGTGGGGTGTTTGATGTACGAAAAGGGGTGGGTGGGGTGTTTGATGTATGAAAAGGGGTGGTGGGGTGTTTGATGTATGAAAAGGGGTGGGGTGTTTGATGTATGAAAAGGGGTGGGTGGTGTTTTTGATGTATGAAAAGGGGTGGGTGGGGTTTTTGATGTATGAAAAGGGGTGGGTGGGTGTCTGATGTATGAAAAGGGGTGGGTGGGTGTTTGATGTATGAAAAGGGGTGGTGGGGTGTTTGATGTATGAAAAAGGTAGGTGCGGGTGTTTGATGTATGAAAAGGGGTGGGTGGGGTGTTTGATGTACGAAAAGGGGTGGGTGGGGTTTTTGATGTATGAAAAGGGGTGGGTGGGTGTTTGATGTATGAAAAGGGGTGGGTGAGATGTTTGATGTATGAAAAGGGGTGGTGGGGTGTTGGATGTATGAAAAGGGGTGGGGTGTTGGATGTATGAAAAGGGGTGGTGGAGTGTTTGATGTACGAAAAGGGGTGGGTGGGGTGTTTGATGTATGAAAAGGGGTGGGTGGGGTTTTTGATGTATGAAAAGGGGTGGGTGGGGGTTTTGATGTATGAAAAGGGGTGGGTGGGTGTTTGATGTATGAAAAGGGGTGGGTGGGTGTTTGATGTATGAAAAGGGGTGGGTGAGATGTTTGATGTATTAAAAGGGGTGGGTATAGTGTTCACTGTATTAAAAGGGGTGGGGTGTTGGATGTATGAAAAGGGGTGGGTATAGTGTTCACTGTACGAAAAGGGGTGGGTGGGGTGTTGGATGTATATAAAGGGGTGGGTGTATGTGTTTGCTGTATGAAAAATGGGGTTGTTGCTTTGTAAAAAGGGGTTGGTAAAGTGTTTTTTGCATGAATAAAGATGGGTATGATTGTCACGCTACTGTAATGAATGTTACCATAACTTTGCAACCATGAAAAGAGGCTGGGGTGTGGGGGCATCTTTGCACCTCCTCCTCCTCTCATCCCCCTTCCCTTTGGATATGTCTCTGATTTAAGGACTGTAAATATAATTATATCCTTTTTGTTTATACCCCCAGGGGTGGGTGGGGTGTTTGATGTACGAAAAGGGGTGGGTGGGGTGTTGGATGTATATAAAGGGGTGGGTGTATGTGTTTGCTGTATGAAAAATGGGGTTGTTGCTTTGTAAAAAGGGGTTGGTAAAGTGTTTTTTGCATGAATAAAGATGGGTATGATTGTCACGCTACTGTAATGAATGTTACCATAACTTTGCAACCATGAAAAGAGGCTGGGGTGTGGGGGCATCTTTGCACCTCCTCCTCCTCTCATCCCCCTTCCCTTTGGATATGTCTCTGATTTAAGGACTGTAAATATAATTATATCCTTTTTGTTTATACCCCCAGTGTAAGAACAATAACCTCCATTAAGATTAAATCTTTTTATACAATCTCTGAAACTACCATAAAAAAAAACAAACAAACATTTATGTGATTTTAAGTGCTTCAGCCCTCGGAGCACATATAAATTAATTACAAAAGCATTTATCAGATATTAATCAAGTTGATCTTCTGCCGCCTGACACTTTGTTCCTGGCTTATATAACATCGTGTAGGAAATAAGGTCTCAAACGTGTTAAACCTTCACCCAGTTCATCAACGAGAAAATCTAATCATTGATTTTTTATGGTTTCTGCTGACAACTGATTGAGAGGAAGCAGAAAAACTCAGATTGTCAGAAAAAAAAATCTCCTTTCTGTGTGTTAAAGTCTTCAACTTTCATATTAAAATCTTTGTTGAGATGCCAAAAATGTTACCTATATTGAAATCCGATTTTTTAGAATTTTCGTAGTTTTATATAATTGTCTGTAGGTTGCCATGGAGAAGAGCAACACAGTATCATTCCTTGTATTAAAATAAAAATCCTTGTGGAGATGCCAAAAATGTTAAATATAAAGAAATCTGATCTTTTAGAATTTTCACTGTTTTATTGAATGGTTTCCGTTGCCAGGAGGAAAAGCAACATGATATTATTTGGAACTTAGATAAAATAAAGAAAATTCACTCGAAGCTTAATAAATAAATCGGGATTTGATCTTTTAGAATTTTCAATGTTTAATTTAATTGTCTAGGTTGCCATGAGGAAGAGCAACATGATATCATTCGGAACTTAGATAAAATAACTAAAATTCACTGGAAGCTTGATAATTAATCTTTTATTTATTGTCTTCCCTGGTGTGTTTACTTTCCGTTACGTTATATCCGTAATGCTATCCCTATAGATGGAAGAACATAAAGCTGTAGTTCAAACGAACAAACAGATTTTATCTTCGCAATTTCAATTTTCCCACTAAAGAAAAGATTTAAATGCTATATATTTATAAAGTATGGATCACACAAGGTTCAAATGTAAAAACCGATAGGAATCGTCAGAGCGTCAATTTTCAGCCTAAAAACAGATTCGATGGAAATCTCTCTATGACCAAATAAACCGAAGACATAAACATTAAATACTGGAGGTTATGAATCAGAGCCAAGATCGTGACTGGTTCAAATATCAAAAAGGAAATTAATCTTTAAGGTGCCAATTGTGAAAGAAAAAATGAATTTGGTTAAAACAAAATAAACATACGAAATGAAAAGTAAAAATTGTATAGAAGTTTGATTAAAACCAGACAAACATACAAGCTGTTTGTGATATTGTTAAAACCAGACTTACTTGAGACAGTAACATTTTAATGTTTGCTATCCTATTAGGGGGGGGGGGGGGGATAACATGGCTAAGTGGGTAAGACGCTGGCTCGCTAGCCTGGAGGTCGGGTGTTTGATCCCTGCATTGGCCGAGAAAGTTCATTCAGATTTTCCGGCGTGGTTTCCCCTTGTCAGTGATGCAGGACAGAGGGCATGTAGATCTACATGATTAAATGTGATAAACTGTTTCTTATTCGGAGGGTCTGACAAGGACAGCTGTCTAGTCGTTCGGATAGTACGAAAAACTGAGGTCCTGTGTACACATTTGCATGCACGTAAAAGATCCATCGGCAGTTGGAATTCAATATAGGCCATATTGCTGCTGCCCAGGCAAAATTTCCCTCATAGCACTCTGTGTGGCATATGCCCATCTTCATTAGCTCAGTAGGAGCAGAACAGTAGGACGTTAAACCCCATTTCATTTCCTTTCATGTCTTTTTCCCTATCTAGGGTGGTTGAATGGCCGAATGTATCATATGGTCTGTCATTGAGTCAACTGGCATGGTTTCGAATCCCTGGTTGTATGTGACAAGGTGTAGGGTCGCCTGTCCAACCTTGTGGGTTTTCTCTGGGTCCTCCGGTTTCCTCCCACTGCTAAAGACCCCTACGCGCAAGCGAATTATTGAAATAAAATTGAACCATATGTTAGTCCCGAAAATGACCTAGTTTGTGTCGAGTGGACGTTAAACCCATCTCTCTCTCTCTCTCTCTCTCTCTCTCTCTCTCTCTCTTGTCAAACTGCTATTATTACCAGTATGGTATCTTCTAATATGTGCATTATATATTAACCAACACAAATTAAAGAAAATACATCACATCATTAAATAGACATTTATAAGATGATACTGTCACG